TTTTTTTTACTTGATCTTTTCTTAAGCAAACTCTGCGTTTATCCCTTCCGGCTTTCTGAGAAAGATACACATACCCCGACATTTTCCCTCAGCTGTTCCCATCTGTCTTTAGGTTCTTAGAGTCACCAGGACTGGAAGTTCTGCCACAGCCTGTCACAAGGATGAATAGTCCTGACACCTGTGCGTGGAGCGCCTGCCCGTCCTCTGTTCTTGCTCCCGTGTATGCTCTGGTACCCATCCTCACCCTCTCGTCGGGGTTTGGGCCTGTCTCAGACACGCTTTGTATTTATAGCTTCTTCTCTAAGACGTCACATAAAGTATCTCTTTTGTACGAGATGCATCTTAAGCTTTTGGTGGTTTGCTGTGCGGAGCATGCTTGGACTCAAACGTTTTTCAGTAAATATTTGGTTTAAATAGAATGGCCCTCTGTGGTCACCCTTGTGAAACAGGGTTTGTGATCACCTTTGGGTATCACAGGAGCAACAGGCCTTGATACGAATAGATCATACCCTTCCATTTTTTTTGAAAATAATTACAGCCCAGGGCTGTAAATACATGAATAAAGCAGATGAGGGTTGAAATAGACATCGCCCAGGTAGCCCACCGTCCCCGTAGGAGGGAGTAGGATCCTATTAGAGTAAGTTGGTTGTAATCAACATTTATTGAGCACCTGCTGTGTGCCAGAGGCCGGGCTCGGGGGTGAGCACAGGAGGATGAGTAGGATGTGTCCACAGAGGGTGGCCAGACAGACTCTGGAGCGATACGTGCTCTCACTAAGCTTGACATCCTCGTCTATGAAATGGGAATAAAACACGTACTTCAAGTATCTGTCCCAAGACTGTAATGGGATAATGTCTTCCCTTTGTCTGTCTGCTTGGGCTTCCGTATCCTCTGTGTGGCCTTAAACAGAGGAAATGTGCTGTCTCACAGTCCTGGAGGCTGGAAGTCCAAGGTCAAGGTTCTGCAGGGTTTGGTTCCTGGGAAGGGCTCTCGTCCTGGCTTGTCAACGGCGTGCGCACGTGGTCTTTCTAGTGCATGCACGTGGAGAGAGAGAGAGACAGCTGTCTTGTGTCTCCTTTGATAAGGGCACTAATCCCATCATAGGATGCCCCTTCATGACCTCTTCTAACCCTAATCACCTTCCAAAGGCCCCATCTCCAAATATCATCATATTAGGGGAATGGTTAGGGCTTCAGCATATGAATTTTGGGAGGATATAGTCAGCCCGTACCATGCATGTCAATTCCTTGGCCCGTCCCTTGAGTTAGATAATCGCTCTGTTATTCAGGGCTCTTCTCAGGAATGTTCCTTCCTCCTTTAGCCTTCTGCTACCAGCTGTCACCAGATGTAGCATGTTGTGAAGGCTGGGAAAAAACCCTGAACAGTTTTAACAGGCTTTTAAATTTACACCCTCTAGCTACTGCCCTGGACAGAGATTTGGGGATAAATTTGAGGAGCACAGACTTAGGCTTTCTTTCTTCTGGGATCTGATTCCCCCAATACTCTGTTGAGTTTAGTATCGATTCATGTCTCATGCTAAGTGGGCCGCAAACCAGGTGGGGAATCCCTGGTGCATCGTTTCTCTAAGTGGATATTCAGACCGATTTTAGAATACGAGAATTTCTTTAGGCGTGTTCTGATGTTTTGATCCATTCAGTGGTCCTGAAAATGTGATCTAAAAGTGATAACTTTTGTTAAAAGAATGATATCTGTTACACAATTTACTTCTGAAATTCTAATGATTAGTTGAATTACTTAAGCGATGTGTATTTTCCGTTTAATTGGAAATCGTCACTGTGTTAAAGGCTTGCTTTCGTGTTATGAATTGGTTGTTTCACAAGTGAAGGGAGTCAGTGGGGAATTCAGGACAACACGCAGAAAGGAGAAGGGATGCGCAGGCCACAGGCTCCCAAATTGAGGATTATTTCCCTCGTAGGAAGAAGACCCTCACCTACCCCTAATGTTCCAATCACGCTTTCATGCATCCCCGAGAACACTGCGTGTTTTCATTCCTATAGAAAACCAAGCCTTTGATGACGGAATTCTCGGTGAAGTCCACCATCATTTCTCGTTACGCCTTCACCACGGTTTCCTGCAGGATGCTCAACAGAGCCTCGGAGGACCAGGAAGTTGAGTTTCAGATGCAAATTCCGGCGGCCGCTTTCATCACCAACTTCACGATGTAGGTGACGCGTGGGTCGGAGACCAAGATTTCCATGTGGGGCGGTCACGGGGAGCCTGGGATGATGTGAGGGCCACAGGCTGTGAGAATTTGCATCCCGGTAGATGGTGTATGGGTGAGAAGGATGACTCCTTTGTTCCTTCCTCTCTCCCTCCTTCCTGTCCTTCCTTCCTTCCTTTCTTCACTTCCGCCTTTCCATTCTCTCTTCTTTTATTTCATTCCTTTCTTTTTTCCCCCATCCTTTCTTCTTTCTTTTCCCCTCCTTCCCTCCAACAAATGAGTGTCTATTAAGGGTCAGCTACTCTTCAAGGGGATTGATATACTTCTATGAAAAAGACAATGTTGGCTGGGCGAGGTGGCTCATGCCTGTAATTCCAACACTTTGGGAAGGCAAGGCAGGAGGATCTCCTGAGGCCAGGAGTTCAAGACCAGCCTGAGCAACATCTGAGACCTTGTCTCTACAGAAATTTTTTAAAAAATTAGCCGGGCACAGTGGTATACCTGTAGTCCCAGCTACTTGGGAGGCTGAGGCAGGAGGATCACTTGAGCCCAGGAGTTTGAGGCTGCTGTGAGCCATGATGATGCCACTGCACTCTGGCCTAGGTGACAGAGTGAGACCCTGTCTCGGGGGGGAAAAAAAAAGATGATGTCACTCTGCTGCAGAAATTCCAGTGGAGAGAAACAGTCAATAAATTAGTAAACAAAATAGTAAATAAAATAATTTCAGACAATTGTGAATGTTATAAAGATGACAAGTCAGACTGAGAGGGGCTTCGTCAGGTAGTGCAGTCAGGAAGGTTGAGTTGAGACTGGAACCACAAGGCAGCGTGAGACCTCTGACATACTGCATTGGATATCTTTCCTCTTCTTCTGATCCGAGAGGTAAAGATACACAAAACAGGGTATGTGTTGGGTTTCATTTTTGGTCCGGGCAAAATTCAAGATGGCGAATCCTTGTGGAAGTTCGAGCAGATCTTGTGATTTTCT